ATTTTCTTATAATGGGTGTACATATAAATAGAATCTTACTATACACACCCCTTACTATATGCACCCTTAAATTATGTCATTTTTTTTTTAGTTGTGACTAATTTTCTACTTTAATTATGACCTTATTTTAATTATAACTCATGAAATCTTTGGTTGTGCCTCATATGTTGTTTGGTTATGACTTTTTTTTTAGTTATAACTCAGAAAATATGAAATTATGTCATTTTCTTATTTAGTTATAAAGTGCATATGGTACACACCTTCTTAGAACCGTGTACAATAATCTTTCTCGTTTATTATTGTATTATAAAGAGTTGTTAAAGAAAATAGTTAAGGAAAAGACTACACCGCACCTTATAAATATAGAAGAAAATTGTATAATTTCATACTTTTTGAGTCATAACTAAATAAATAATAATAATAATAATAATAATAATAATAATAATAATAATAATAGTCACAAACAAATACAAAAAAGTCATAATCAAAATCTCAAAATAATGTCATAACTAGAGATGCAAGAAAAATCAAAAAAATCGATTAAACTGATTGAACTAGACCGAATTGGCTATATTTGGTCTGTTTTTTTAACAAGAATCAGTCTGTGCAGTTTTTCAATTTGATTTTTTTTTATTTTTAGTTCGATATCCGTTCAAGCACATTGTGTACCGAACTAAACCGAAACCGACCGCTTCACCATGTATTGCATTTATAATATATACATATATATAATCTAATAATATATGATATTAATAAGTATAATAAATTTTTAACCTTAATTAATTAACTTTATCATCTCTATAACCTAAATTTGTATATTTTTATTGTATATAATCTTAACTCTAACTCATTATTTTTAAAACTTTAGTATTTTATAACTTTTTTTTTATTTGTATTTTTGTTAAATTAGGAATTGAAAAGTATTTATTAAATGGATGGATTGAATATATTTGAAGTGGTGGACAAATAACTAATTCAATATTTTTATATACATTAGTGACTATACTAAAAAGTAGCTCAAGTTAGAAAAGTCATAGAATGATTGAACCGCACCGAATTAAATCATTTCAATCGGTTCGGTTTGGTGTAGTTTGATGAGAAAAATGGTCTGCATATTATCAGTTCAGTGAAAAAATTTATCTAAATACCGATTGTACCTTACTGATTATATCCCTAGTCATAACTAAAGATAAAAATTGATCATAATTAAAGAGAAAAATAATATAATTGAAGGTACATATAATATGGAGTGTGGATAATATAATTCTCCTAGTTAAAATTATAAACGGGAGCAGGGGCATAGGAGAAGTTGGTGTGTTTAAGGCTTCGTTTGGCAAGAGCTAAACGGGGCTTTTTTGGCTGTTTTAGCCACAAAAGACAAAATAGACTATTTTAGCCACAAAAAATAAAATATCACATCCAACCCATAATCATTATATTCTTCTCTCACAAAAAAAGTCAAAAAAGTTAAAAAGCCAAAAAGCTCTTTCCAAACCAAACTTTTTAACCCAGGCTAAAATAGTCAAAAAAATTAAAAAGCCAAAAAGCCAACCCACTTGCCAAACGGAGGCTAACTATATATAACAATAGATCATCTTGTGCAAAGTAGGAGGCAGGGCGCTGTAGGTTTATACATAGTTTCATCCTTAAATAGTAGATTGTTTAAGTTTGATTTGAAACTTTTAATAAATTTCATAACATGTTTAACTTGGTTAAATTTTGAACCAACCGAGTTGAGTTATAATAATTTATTTTTGTAAAAGCTTTTAAATTTATATGAAACTAAGCTCAAAAAATTAATGAATTGATCTCAAAAGAACTTTTGAGTAGCCAAATAAAGTCAAGCTCAAATAATTTGATACCTTTTATAGTCCTACATTTCATATTAGTTTTTTTTAATATATTAATGTTCATAATAATATTTATTTATAATTTGTATAATATACTCATTACACATTTATATGAATTTTATCGTTGCATATTTAAGACTGTAAAATGAACCAAACTACTTGAATTCAACTGTAAAATGAACCAAACTACTTGACCTCACCTTGTATTCCATTCGTTAAAAACTCGTTCGATATGGACTTGTTATGTAAATCAGGCCTCGTTTGTGAACATGCTATTTTAGTAATTTTTTTGACTTTTTGGCTAAAATATGAGATAAAAAAAATTAATATGTTTGGAATGACTTTTTTGTTTTTACAAAAAGATGTGCAAAAATAAAAAGAAAAGAGAATCTTTGACTTTTTGATATAAATTATAGGTTTTTTATTTTTTTTTAATAACTTTTTGACTTTTAGGCTAAAATATGTGTATCCCAAATGAGGTCTAAGTCAAATTTGAGCAATTACTACTTGACTGAATAATTTTATATGTGCTATAAAAAATAAACTATTTTAATTTGATTCGTATTCAGCTCGTTAATTTAAACAAATTCAACTTAAAAATATTTTATAACTGGTTAAATTTTCAAGTTATATTTGAAGAACGAAAAATGACTTACACTCCCACCACCCCCACTGATTTTTGATTGGCTGGAATTTTTTATTTTTTTATTTTTTTGGGGTCTTCCTCTCACATACCCCCACGTGGGGGTGGGGGTGCTGGGGGTCTAGAGCAGCGTTGTTTGAAGAACTCAGAGTTGGTTACAAGTATCAAGATCTTGAGTTATGTTTAAAGTAAGCTTTATAATAAAAGAAAAATGTTTCTATTTAACATCAAAATAAGCCTTACTCTAAGTTTATTCTAACAATTCAAATCGTTTAATGTGTAAGACTTGTTAAATATATTGTTTTTATAAAAAAATGACATTGATCAAATATTAATAACACTAGGAAGAAGCCTCACCCAATATAATAAAAAGAAAAATAATTTATCTTTCTAATTTTGTCTCTCAAATCAAATCATATGGAAGGAATATTAAATATTTGATTTCTTCTTCCAAAATGAAAATTAATAATATTTTTAAATATATTTTTATATTTTTTAATAAAAAAAGTATTAAGAGAAATATTTAAGATTATTAAAATTTTTAATTTATAATTTTATTACTTATATTTTTATTTAAATATAATTTTAATATATTTATGACGTCACGGTTCGATTCCGATTCAACCCGACGGTTGAACCGGTGACCCGTCCACCCGATCATTTTTCCGGTTCATTCACCGGTCCGGTTTTTAAAACATTTTAAAGAACTCAGAGTTGGTTACAAGTATCAAGATCTTGAGTTATGTTTAAAGTAAGCTTTATAATAAAAGAAAAATGTTTCTATTTAAAATCAAAATAAGCCTTACTCTAAGTTTATTCTAACAATTCGAATCGTTTAATGTGTAAGACTTGTTAAATATATTGTTTTTATAAAAAAATAACGTTGATCAAATATTAATAACACTAGGAAGAAGCCTCACCCAATATAATAAAAAGAAAAATAATTTATCTTTCTAATTTTGTCTCTCAAATCCACTCTAATAATGTGGAATTAGAGATATTAAAGACGGGAGAAAAATATAAAACCATTTCATATAGGGATGAGTCACAAAATTAAAAAGATATAGCGGGATTGGAATAAAAAATCATGATGCATACCATTTTTGGGTCGATAATGATGGGTGATGAGTTGCATATAGTTTTGTTGTTTTAGTGGGGGTGATGGTGAGGTTAGCATAACCAAACAATCATGACGTGGAATTGGAGATGTCCATATATGCCATTTCGGGTCTCCGTTCCGAGAAGTTATTGGATGATTTTTGGTATCACCACGTGATATTTTAATAATGTTGTGATTAAGTTAAAAAAAAATAAGATTTACAAATTTATATTAATAATTAAAAAATAAAAAATGATATGGTAAATTATATTTGGTATGAGGCCCACCAAGCCCACCCTTTAATGAAAGCGGACGAACTAGCCTTTTCAACCTCTTCCTTACGTGGCAGCCATGCAGACTATGGTCCCACATTAATATCATAAAATCTTTGATTTTAAAAAATAAAATAAAATTTATTTCATACATACGTATGTCGAATATAATATTTGTATTTAACAAATTAATTCAACTAACTCATTTATTCAATGTTAAATAGAGTGTAGTTGGTGTTTAAAATATTTGGGTTACTAGCTTGATTTTGTGGTTTGATTTTGGTGGGTTGATTTTGTATTTTATATTTTGTTAAGTTCTTCTTAACTTTTTTTGTTTAAAAAAATTGTGAGGCCGAGGGGTTGGTTATGGTTGCGAGTAGTAGTAGTAGAGGTATTTTATACTTTCCGAAACTCTCTCAGTGCATTTCATCTTCTTGTACCTTTAATTTCATGTTTTTAATTTTAACAAATTAATTCAACTAACTCATTTATTCAATGTTAAAGAGAGGGGGGGGGGGAATTATAATATAAATAATTCAATTAAAAAGACGACCCGTGATACACACTTCTTATCCATTTTTTGACAAACAAAAACAATTGTAAATCCAATAAATAGAACATTGCAAACGTTTAAGTTAAAATTCTAGTAATTTTGAGAACTGGTGACAATCAAATTAAGGCCAAGATCACTTCCTCTAATTCATTACAAATGAATTTAAACATGAACTTTAAAATATAATTAATAATAATAATAATAATAACCAACAAATAAGTATAATAATAATAAACAAATACATAAACCAACAGGAATTTTATCAAGAACTTTTTGTAAAAAGAAATTGAAATAACAAAAATTACTAAAAATCCGCAAAAATACTTGAAAAGGTAAAACATATTGATGTGATTCACAAAAAAAGGTTTCCCCTCTCAAAAGAGTTTCCTAATAGAGTAATGCTAGGTATCATGAAAAAAAATCATAAAAATGATTATGAAAGATTCTCCACTATTAGGCTACACATACAAAAAAACACCACACTAATCAAAGGATGAAAACTCTTCATGAAACATTTCATAATATTTTTTTCATGATCCCTAATATTATTCTTCTTGATAACAGTTAACATAAGCTGCAATCCTTTAAAAACTTGATAACATCATTAATAGAATTTCAAAGTCTAAATTTATCCATTTCAGGCAATACACAAATCCATTACCATTGCCATGATCTTCTATAACTTACAACCCTTTTCTCCACATTTATGAACCCGTGCATTTCACGAGCTTAGTAAATACTAGTTTTTGGATAAAAGGAATGAGACACATTACTATATTTTCAACCAAAGCAATGGGTTTAATGATCCACTGGCAAAGAAATAAAATTAAGTTTTCAGGGTTTAAAAATAATGGTTTTCCCTCTCAAGTGCCTAAACCAGTCATTTTGCAAATAGGGCAAAGATTCTTCTGTGTCAGCCACTGTTTGATGCAGTTGGTGTGGAAGTCATGCCCGCAATCCAAAGTCCCAATATCATCACCAGCAACATACTCCTCCTGGTAAAGATTCAAAAAATAAATTGGTTTATATATATAGGATTTGATGGCTTTTCCCAAATAAGCATCTGTATATATAGGATTTGATGGCTTTTACCCGACATATGCAGCATGGCTCCAAGTTTGATTGGGATACTACCGCGATAGAAAGATACTTCCGCTGTTGCATAGACTTCATAATGGTTTCCTCGCTCAATCCAGTGCTCACATTTCCTATGCGCTCTTCCAATGCCAACAATTCCTGATATTCCCCAATCGCGGTCAGGGAACAAAAATCTTCCATCAAAATTTGATGACATGGACATATATATAAAAAAAGAAGGAAAAAAACCCCTTCTTACCTCATAAGACATGTTATCAACATCAAGTCTCATATCTCTATGCCTGTCATGCAACTCAGCAGCCCCATTTATAAATGGATCAAAGAGCATATAATCCTAACACACGATTATACATGCAGGACAATGTCAGAAATGAAGCAAGTCACAAGACATTTTTGATGATCGACAAATCATTCAACAATGCTAGGGACCCCAAAAAAAGAAAAATGATTCATCCACACAATTTCTTGACCAAATATTTTCTCAAAACTCTCTTTACATGCATTTTATCTTGCCACCTCATTAGGGGATTGTGGGGGAAGAAATTGTGTGGATGTAGCATTGTTGCCAAAAAAATTAGCAAATATTCTACAAAATAGCCACATGATGGTTGTGGCACCAACACCACATGGGACCTACACCCATGTGAGTATTTTGTGGAATTTTTGGTAGTTCTTTTGGTAGCATTTTTATAAAGCTAGTTCATGCAGCACGATAAGTGCAACTGTTACAATGCACTGCTGTATTGTGCATATTTCCAAAAAAATAATGTCCTTGGCAACAACCAGAGCTTAATTATTGTGAAAGCTGCTTTTAATCAAACTGAGTTTTCTTTTTTTTTTAAAAGTAGATAACATAAACAATAATTACTAAGAAGTTTAGAAGCATAGAAAGCCTTACTGAATTTTTGCCATCTCAAATGAGTTCCAGTGAAAAACAGAATCAACAGAACATGAAATGTCACTATATCAACTAAAGCATTCATACTCTTGTGGCAGTTGACAAAGACGAAATGGTTGTGTTACAGCACAACATATAAAAATTAATGAATTAAAGAGGCATGAATCAAAATTAAACCTCAGCTCGTAAGTTCTCGCCCCTACGCATAGCATTCAAGACTTGACGAATCTGTTAAATGGAAGGACAGAAGTTGTTACTTCAATGTTCCAACTTTTCTTAATCAGAAACTAAGCAATTTTGATAGCAACAGAATGTACGTTTACTAGCAAGATAGAAACTAAAATTAACAGTGTCACAAATTATGCAATTAAGAATGTGCAAGAACAATTCAGACAATTACGACCATAAATAAACAGATCCGTACAACTTTCATAATCTGGAATTATATTAAAATACACACACACATATATATGCCGCTAATGGCTGAATCCACCACCCCCTCTCACAATGCGGGCGGCCTACTCATGTGAGAAGAGTGAGGGCCGTGGTTATAGCCTTTAGGGTATGGACATAGTAGGAATCTTCTACAATAAATTGACATATTGGATTCCACAGGAAGCTTCTGTCTTTATGTATGTCATATAAACATTGAATTTTTCTAACCCAAGTGCGATACATATAAATTAGGTATTTCCATATATAGCCCTTTAACTCCCCAACGAGATATTTCTAAGCTTGTTTTAACCCTTAGACATTCCTTTTTACAACCCCAAGCCCTATCCTTGCTTAAACATTCAACTCTAGGGCTTTAAAACTACAACACTAGCCAAGGTTTTGTTCTTGGGTATCGTTCACAGTGCTCAGAACAGTCGCCAAACAGTCCCAAAAATTCTCTCTTCACTCCCAAACCTTTATTGTTTTGTTAGAACATATAGCCCTAACAATCTAAGTAATTTTACAAAGAACAGTCCCCTAACATCCCAAAAATAGAAACCTCTTCACACTGCGCTCACTAGTCACTACCAACAGGAGAGTGATCCCCACACTTGTCCTACATCACATGTCCAGCTAACCATACTTGACAAGCCAATTCACAAAATCCTCACCTACATAAGAAGACGGTCAACAAGACCAAAACAACTTGTCTACCAATCTGGGGGGACTAAAATAGTTCTTATTGACAATTCACCAATCTCTACAGATTTCACTAAATTTCACTCCATCAAATAGATTAATGAGATCAATGGAAACATGACTCTGCCATTCTCAAAGGAAAGCACAGCTCTACAAACTGATATATGCGAAATATTCATGACTAATCAACTTAATATTGCAATACTCCGAGGCAGCATGCATGAGCTTCATTTGAACCCATGTGCAAGTGTGTTAGAGAGAGAGAGAGAGAGAGATTAAGGATGAGATTAATATATAAATAAGAAATGTAACATCAAACTATACAGAATCAATGGTGGTAGCCAGGTAGGTATAGAGTAACACGTTTATTATAATAAGCACTTGATGGCCATAACAAAAATACTCATCCAGTAATTTGCAATTCAAGGTATTACAGTGTATTATTAACAGCATGTTATTGCCAAAGGGATAAAATTGTAAAATGATGACGGAGATGTTAATCACAACGATGAAGTGATGTTGGAATTATGTCCATGATTTCTTACATGATTAAAAATGTTCAAGATGTTCAAGTTAAGTTGCAGTAATTATGACATTGCATTGGCCCACAACAAAATGCTGCCATAAGAAAATTGATAATTGTGTACTTGGAATTACAAAACCTTAGCAGTACTTCTAGGAACAAAGATACCATACTCAGGTAATATATCTTAACCAACTTTAAGCAAAGGATTAGTAAACTTGGAAATCAGGGAAAAATTAAAACAAAAAACAAAGAACTTAGACCACAAACCTCAGATACCAGCCTGTGTCTCCCCTCAATATCAGCAGCTAAAGCGCGCCAACCATTCACATCATCACCAGGTAGCTCCAACAAAGCCGATCTTGGATATGGTGGATGATGGCCTTGGCTATTAGCTCCAGATGGCATTATTGTTTCCTCTGAAGAAGAAGGGCCTGAATGCGATGGGGGAAAGTGAGCTCTCAGAGCTTCAGACTCAGAGTCAACAGATGGAAACAAAGTCCAAGGAGAAAATTCGGATAATCTTTGTTGATTTTGTGTTGGGGGGTTGCGATGAGGTGTCCACGCAGTGGGGAAAGGCCGTATAGCAGAGCTGGGGCTAACTCGAGAACTAGAAGGGACACTTGTAGAAGTACTGGTATTTCCAGTAGAAAAATTCCAATTATTTGAGTCTTGCACCGAATTTCTCATCTCAGTTGGAGGAACAACAATAGGATGCTCCATGCCATTTCTTGGGGTGCTTCTAAAACTTGCTTCCTCTCGCAATGATGCACCTCTGTCCCCTGAAAGCATTAAAGAACTTGAAGAACCGCCAGCTCTTGAATTAAGAGTCCCATTCCAAGGGAAAGCAGGTGTATTCCTTGGCAAATCAAGAATATGCATTGAATGAGACTGGTTTGGGGGATTATTTGAATTGGGTGCTACTATGGTTGTTGGTCTCAAGTCCAAAGAATCAGTAAAAGAGAGAGGTCTAGATGGCTGGGGAGGGGAGCACACATCAGAATGGTTTATCGCATTCCCTGTTGATGGTAAATTAAACCTAACAGATTCGTGATGCCCAACATTTCCTCTCACGCCAAAAATTCTTGAGGAGCTTTCTGCAATTCCTGTCACACTTGAAGGAGGAAAGACGTCAGAAGCTACTCCACGCATACTAATGCCACTTCTTGGGTTTAGCTGTTCAGAAGGACCAATGCAAGGAGAAATCACTGGTGGTGGTGATATACTTAAGCTGCTAGAAGCACTGTAACGAGCAAAAACACCATGTCGTGGAAAGATTTCAGTATGTTGAAAGCAGTTTGAACTCCCACCTGGACAAGACTGTCCAGAAGTACCTTCAAGAGCCTTTCTCTTGCAGGATGAACCCCAATTGCCCAAAGACGAACTTGACTCACCCTCACTGTCCACCAAACAACCAGAATGACCAGAAGAATTCCCAGTGTTATCAGAAGAAGCATTAGCACTCAAGATCTGTTCTGTTTCTGGTCCGCTTACCTTGTACAAATTATGGAATGCATCTGGCTCCGTGTCCTGCCCACCATCGCCACTACCGGCCATGTCCCCAGCATTTAAATTTATATTCAGAGAAACACGACTAGAACTGGAACTCTGCATAATTAAAGGTCTGTCGGTAACCTGATTACCACCAATACCATTGTTAACACTATCGCGAAGTAAGATGTTAGACGGTCCAGACCCAGGACGAACCAAAAATGAGGACGACCGACCATTTTCGATTTTCATACCATCACCAATGCCTTGGCCTTGTAAATTTTGACTAGAGCTAGATTCCCCTAAATCCCAACCACTAAAACCCCGAGCACTATGACTAACAGCATTAGTGCAAGTATAGTTCCCTTCAGCAGAAGAAAGCATGTAATTTGGCAACCGGCTTTCCACTGGACTTAGCATGCTATTCCAAGCAGTTGACTGATTCATACCAGTGTTATTGGAAACAGATCCCTGGTTAAGATCAACAGTTTCAGTAAAGGAATTGCCTGCACTCCTTTGCCCTTGCATTGGGGCTAATGTAATCCCCCAAAGGTATGTGTATGTTGCAGAACAATATTTTTAACACTTGATCACAAAGAACACTGCTCAGGCAAACCTGAATTCACAAATCTGCAAAAGGGAAAACATCCTAGCTCAACCTAGTAGCTGAAAAACGCAAGCCATTCACAAATGCAATTAGGCCACTTACTTAAGATATTAGAACATATGATTTGAACAAAAAATGAAAATAAGACTCGCTATCTGTACGGCTCTGTGCTTCTTCAACTCCACTTATAAGCATAGCCCAAGATGTAAAAGTAGAGTCCAAATATTGGTGGTCATTAGACAAGCAGGAGATATAAAGTAAAAGAAAAGATAAAAAGCTCATTACTGCAACAGGTACTACCTACCTACCTACCAACATAGACAAATTGCTACTCAACCAGAACAATAGAAAGTTCCAACTATCGTAGACTTCAACAGCTGAAACAGAATTGAGATGATGAATTATGCATTTACTTTCAACCATAAACCTCTCTCGAATAACATCTGAAACTTCAAAAGAAAGAACCACCTTTAGTACTGCAAGATATTATTTGGGAACAAAATGAAACACAAAACAAGTGCAATTATGACAAAGAAAAGCAATTATGACAACGAAAGTACATAATAAGCATACGGACGTTTGAGAGCTCCTGGTACTTCTACTGGACTTTTATCACCTGGCCTGAGTTTATTAGAGTGTTATTTTAAACTTGTGACCATACTCCAACTATTTGTTCACCTTATTGCGCAAGTAACCCTAAATATAAACTATTCAAAGGACAAATAATAATAATAATCAGCTATTAAAATGGTGCCAACCTAACCATAAAATTAATTAAACACATCGAGAGATTCATAGATAAAGATGAGTAAGAAACAATATCGTAACGGATTCCATATCCCCTATATATTTTTCATGCTCCCAAAACTTCCTACCAGAATAAAATATACTCAAAAATATCTGCACGGCTCATTCATTAATATATTTAAACTGTAAAGTGAGAGGCATCTGAGCTTCAGAACTACATCACAGAAATAGAACATGTACAATAAACTGCTAAATCAATGCACAAGGAAAAGTTTCCCAAATATGATAAACTCCTGAGTGCATTCATTATGTTTCTTAAGTTATAAGATATGGCTTTTGCATAGATAAACTAAGAAAAATGATCCATGTAGCAGACTTCGAGTGATTTGGATTAAAGCTTGTTAACAGTGATCCAAATTGGAGGAATCCAATTGTTAACAGTGTGCTTTAATTTGGTATTCTCATCCGGTGATTTCCCTGGTCCCAAGTTGCAGGGAGGGAAGATGAGAATCAACTTATTGATAGAAATTTTGTAAGGAAAGCCCTTGGGCACCTTATTGTGCCACACGTTGCCTAATTAGGATATCCCTTGATATTTGCGTACATATTCCTATGAAGACGGTCACCTTGCTACATGGGAATATATTCCCATAAAAGCGTAGACAACTAGGAGGTCAGTGATTGTTGCCACAACAGCAACCGATTCACTTAAGCGGTTTTGGATCATGGATTTGAGTAAGGATTTGGAAGAGAAAGAAAAAAAAAATGGGTAAAATATGAATGAAATATAGTTACATTTTGCCGACCTTTTCCTTTTCCCTTTCCCTTCCCAAATGCATACCCAAATCCATATCCAAACACAGCCTTAAGTTCTTAAACTATCAGTTTGGTCGCTACTTTTTCATTACACTTTTCCTAAACCAAAATCATCTAAGCAACAAGACTGCTTCAAGACCACAGTGAAAATATATACCAAATATGTTGTGCTCCACATGGTGAGATTATAATGCAAGAAGCTTGCAGTTACCATTAACTTTGGCTTCCTAATGCATACAGATGCAAATTACAATTATATGTGTCGCATCCTTGGCAGACTAATACAAAACCAAAAGTCAAGTTTCAACAAATTAAACCTCCAACAAGCAATTATATATATTAACTCAATAAGTAAAAATCAGCAATTTCAGTGCACAGAGACATCAATGCATCAAAAAATTAAAGGAAAAAAAATGGAATGTGAACATTGTAGAAACTAATTATAACTGATAAGCTCAAAAAAGATGGAAACTTTGAGAGTATAACCAAGGCCAGCCATAAGTAGAATCTATCGACATCATCAATGAACAAATGCACAAAATTACAAGCCAATCTTCTAGCAAAATAAAAAATAATAATAATACTAGAAAGGGGAAAGAGAAAGAGAACGTCAAAAATCAAAACTTTATTCGAAGCCTGTAATTCACAGATCCCCATTTCCAGCACCACGCTCACAGGAAAAATTTATCAAATTAAAAAAAAAATTACATAAAATTGATTAAAAAATCTCTACCAAACAATTATCAGAAACTGATTCAAGAGAATAAATTCAGCATGGAATTAAGATAGATTGAAGAAGAACCTGACTGACTGAGAAAAGAAGATGAAGGATAGATGAATCCACGGTCCACCGATCGTTTCTGAGAATCTGAGCTCTCTCTTCTCTCTTTCGACAGTTTTGCTTTTGTTTGGGGAGAGAGAAAATCTATAGCCGCTGAGAAAATTAATGAAAGATGACGATGACGATGGTGTGGTGGGTTGGAGAGAGAGGTGTGGAGAGAGAGAGAGAGAGAGAGAGAGTAAATTTAATTGGGATCGTTTCGAATATGTTTAACTCAGATTTTGTTGGTAGTACAAATATTTCAGAATCCGATGCTAACGATGGAAGTTAAATCAGTCTGAGCCGTTGGATTTCTCGACAATCGATGGATTTGAAGAAAATGGTGTGGAAGATTTTGTATCTAACGGCTCATGATTGTCATCAGGATTATTCGTCTGGTGTTGTAATTATGACAAATCTAGAGGGCTGCTACCTAAATTCTTTGACCATTATTTCTTTGAATCATTTCCTTAAAACTTTAAATTTTAATATGATATTTTTTAACATTTCAATTAATGTTAAATTTATCGTTATTTATAATATTATTTTACTCAAATACACACCTACTTAATTTTGCACGTCCTCTCCTTCTTCTGTTGAAATTAGTCCATCTCTTGTTGAAAAAAGCGACGACAATAACGGTTTCACTATTGTTGAAGAAAAACGGCAACAACAGTAAATTGCATCAATAAACACTATTGCCTTAGTGAACAGCATTGTATCAAAGGTTCGTCATTGAACATTAGCAGTGAACTACGGTGTCTAAATCAATGAAATCAGTGCACCATTGCACTTGTTCGTCGAAAATTCCTCTTAGGTAAATACCAACTCTTTATCTTATTAACATCATTGCCTCTTTTCTTCTCATCATATTTTTGTTTTTTGGTTTATTTCAGTGTAAAGTGGATTTTAAAGGAAAAAAACCTTCATGAAAAACACAATATAGTGTTGACCATATGAAATAGAACCGTTTTCCATACCATTGTCGAAAATAAAGATCATGTTCAATTGAACAATGTCAACTTGTTGCATGTCTATTCAAAAGATAATTTTAACAGTCGGCAAATTAGTACCAAACCAGCTCGAACAAAGCAACAACAATTGCAAACGATCAAGAATGTTAATGCGAGATAGATAAACTTACCAATGCAATGCCAACCTCATCAGAATTGTTGTGATCATGTTCAATTGCTCTACAAGTATCAATGAATGGTGAAATAATTTATAAAGAGTAATACGTTGGACTTGAAAAGAGGTTTTTGGTTCAAGGTTTCTATTTTATGAGGGTTTATGATGGTGATGAAGAGAATACGTTCTGAGTTTAAAATTGTTATAAAGAGTAACAAGTTTAGGATTTAGGTTGGTAGAATGAATTTAGGTGGAGGTGGAGGTGGAAGTGGAGGTATAATATTGTAAAGTGTCATTGTAATGGTTTTTATTGAGTGTTGCTACCTCCACACTACTCCGGCCGGCAGCCTCATCCGGCAGCCATTCTAGTGTCTCCCCACCAGCGACCACCCTCTCACCACCTCTTACCACCGCGACCCACAAGCGATGTGACACCTTAAATATTTAATTAATACTACTACCAATCATGATAATAATAATGATAATAATATTAATACTAATGGGAGTGATAGCAAAATAAAATAATTAATTTTATGATGGTATGCAATAAAGTATAATTTAATTTATTATACAATTAATTAGGATCAATGTAAGATGAAGGCAAAATAATAAAATAACTAAGCTATAGTGTTATGTACATAAATTTGTCATTGTGGTTATCAAATGTATAATGAAGAGAATTATTTGGAACTAAGTTAATCACTAATAAAGGTGAAGGGATTGGCATGTTTAATTTTGAAAATTTGCAAAGATGTTAAGAGGTTTGCAAATATATTAAGAGGTATGAATAAGAGCCATCTGTCCACCTAGGATTAGAAGGGGGAAAGGTGATTCATCACCATTAGGGCCATTAGGTATGTGAGTCACCACCTAATTGCATGTATAGGTAGGGATGGTGCTGTGAAGTAAGGTAGTGTTAACGGAAACAAAGAAAAAAAAAACACAGAGAATCAGCACAAATAGGAAGCAAGGAAAGAGCCAGAAGCTAACGAGAATAGCTAGGAGTTAGTAAGACTCGTTATTAAAGTGAGTTATGGTATACCTTGAGTCACCATAATATATTTTATGTATGTTTTAACTTCTCATAATTTATTTTATACAAGTTATATTTTATGAGTTATATCAATACAAGTTATATTTTATAAATTATATTAATATTTCAGTTACGTGGATTAATTTCTGAACTCTATTTGTTTAAAATGAAACCCATTGATATGTTTGTTTAAATTTTAAAGAATATTTAACTATGACCTTATAAACAATTATGTTTTGTAAATACCACCATAGGAGTCCCATGCCTTGGGGGACTTAAATAACCATTGACCTCTGTTTGACCACTTTATGGTCTTCTGTTTGTCATGGATCCATTGACCTATGTTCTGATTGTTACTTCTGTGACCTCCGTTCTGTTCTGTTTTGTACCGTGATTATGGTTATTTATTTACATGATTTTTGTATTTCAATTTCTGCCACTTTAAACAAATTATTATTTCAAATTAAATTACGTAAATATTTTAGCCTAATTAACTATCCATGGTTATTTTGTATTCCCTATACTCTTGGCATAATATTTCTCACTCTGTTGTGTGTTTATAGCTGTTACCCTTTCAGGTGACGAGATGTAGGGAAGACCTATAACCTCACGTAATAGAACCCGCACGAAGATTGATGTTGATCCACTATTTTGTCTTCTTTTTTTTATTTTATATTTTTGCTCCCTTTTGTTTCTACTCGAAGCCGGTCACTGAATAATAAAATAATAAAAGCCCTATAGATATATTTTCTCTTATTAAAATAGTAAAATGAAGTAAATTTTCTGTTTAATTATTTTTATTTCCTGTTACCTCCGCCTACGCCATTTAATTTGCTACAACTAGAATAAATTAATGAGTTGCGATTCCAACCCTAAGCCCCTAGGGTTGGTTCGTGACAAGCGACCACCCTTCCACCACTCCTTCATTTTCTCTCTTTCTCTCTCTCTCTTCTTCTCATTCTTCTTATTCTTTATTTTTGCAGATTTCCCTCTCTCTTTCGCTTATGATTCTTCTTTCTCCATCGTATTCATCACCAGCTTATCTACTACGATGTAGCACCTCACATAGCCCTCACTCGTAGTCCCAGCAACCTTAGCCTCCCACCAACAACTCTGATCGCGAATGACATAATAGATTGCAATATACATACATATAAAGAGAGAGAGAAAACGAGTAAGTGGATGAAAATAGATCGAGGAGTGGCGGTGCAATGGGAAAGTATAAGCGATGGAGGAGGTTGTGGAGGATGAGGCAAGGTGTAAGGGTGGCGACATTGCGACAAAGATATCAACGACATATAGATGACGGAAATGATACGGCGGCAATGGCGGTGAAGATAATGTTGTTGTGGAAGGTGTAGCCATCGTCTTCAATGGCCATCAAAGATAACAGTAGTGGTTGCTAGAGTCAGTAATGATGGGATTATGGTTAGAGTTAGGGTTTGAATTTGGGATTAAAGGTATAGTTGGTATTAAGGTAAGGGATCAAAAAGAAAATGTTAGGGCTTCATTTTGCTAGGTGTAAGAGGTTCAAAAAAGTGGAGGGGGGGAGGGGGGGCAAAGTAAAAAGGTTGGGACAAATAGCAGCGCTATTGTTATTTGATATGTGGATGTTCTATTAAATGACATTGTTTAATGTAATTTTGCTTCAGGTTATAATTGTAATAAAATAAAATGAAAATAGAGAGATTCAAAGAAATTAGACAAATGCTAATAGCAGCTCTCTAAATGTAAAACGAGACAAAAGTGAGGAATACTTTCTTTAATAGATTTTCAAAAATAATGCAATTAATTTCATATTTTTTATGTAATTATGTCGACTTCCTTGGTAATAAAGGAAAAGTTGTCCAAATTTAATTAACCCTATTTTTCAAAAAGTGAATAGTAAAGTTTTTTGAAAATATTTAAAATAATCATTTTTGTCAAAATAATATAATTAATCGATTTGTCAAAAGATGAATAGTAATTAACCCTATTTTTTTCAAAATAATATAATTAATCGATTTGTCAAAAGATGAATAGTAATTAACCCTATTTTTTTCAAAATAATATAATTAATCGATTTGTCAAAAGATGAATAGTAATTAACCCTATTTTTTTCAAAATAATATAATTAATCGATTTGTCAAAAGATGAATAGTAATTAACCCTATTTTTCAAAAAGTGAATAGTAAAGTTTTTTGAAAATATTTAAAATAATCATTTTTGTCAAAATAATATAATTAATCGATTTGTCAAAAGATGAATAGTAATTAACCCTATTTTTTTCAAAATAATATAATTAATCGATTTGTCAAAAGATGAATAGTAATTAACCCTATTTTTTTCAAAATAATATAATTAATCGATTTGTCAAAAGATGAATAGTAATTAACCCTATTTTTTTCAAAATAATATAATTAATCGATTTGTCAAAAGATGAATAGTAATTAACCCTATTTTTCAAAAAGTGAATAGTAAAGTTTTTTGAAAATATTTAAAATAATCATTTTTGTCAAAATAATATAATTAATCGATTTGTCAAAAGATGAATAGTAATTAACCCTATTTTTTTCAAAATAATATAATTAATCGATTTGTCAAAAGATGAATAGTAATTAACCCTATTTTTTTCAAAATAATATAATTAATCGATTTGTCAAAAGATGAATAGTAATTAACCCTATTTTTTTCAAAATAATATAATTAATCGATTTGTCAAAAGATGAATAGTAATTAACCCTATTTTTCAAAAAGTGAATAGTAAAGTTTTTTGAAAATATTTAAAATAATCATTTTTGTCAAAATAATATAATTAATCGATTTGTCAAAAGATGAATAGTAATTAACCCTATTTTTTTCAAAATAATATAATTAATCGATTTGTCAAAAGATGAATAGTAATTAACCCTATTTTTTTCAAAATAATATAATTAATCGATTTGTCAAAAGATGAATAGTAATTAACCCTATTTTTTTCAAAATAATATAATTAATCGATTTGTCAAAAGATGAATAGTAATTAACCCTATTTTTCAAAAAGTGAATAGTAAAGTTTTTTGAAAATATTTAAAATAATCATTTTT